CTCACAGAAGCCCAAGATCTTGGCCATACTTCATGGGAATTCCAAATCTTCAAAATAACCCTGTTGAGTGGTTGTGCCTAATCAGGGGTCTTTAAATTTGTGTGGTGTGGTGTGGTATGTGTGTCTGTGTATGTGTGCACACCATGGCATGGCACACATGTGGAGGTCAGAGGACAACTTGCAGGAGTCAATTCTCTCCTTTCACCATGTCGGTGTGATGGATCCAACCCAGGCTTGGCAGCAAGCACCCTTACCCATTGAGCCATCTTGCCAGCCCAGAGGTCTTTAATTTAGAATCAGCTCCTTAGCTGTGAAACAGGCACCCAGAGCCCAAAATGCTACCCTAGACATGCAGTACCCTGTGGCTCTGCCTTATTCCTAGCCGAGCCAACAGATTTCACTTCCACATTTAACCAAGGGAAACAGTCAGCCAAGCATCACCCCAGCCACTTTCTCTTGCAGTTGAAGCCCAAAGCCAGAACCCGGAAGCCGCCATTCTCCTTACAGAGCCCCTCCCATCCCCCAGCCAGTCTCAGTCCAACACGTGGACCAGCATGCACACACAAGCCAGACACTCTGTTCACTCCCACGCTAAACAGGGAGAACTCAGAAAAACAAAAGAGCAAGCTTGGAGGAACCAAAGGAAAGAGACAAAGAAAGAAAACTAAAAAATGGACATACAAACAAACCAAAACTATGATGGTTTTGCCCTCATGGTGAAACAGATCAGCCAGGACATACCTTTTAGGGCAGGGCCTCACAGCTGTTCTCAGGGACTGCCAATGAGGTGGACGGTCTTCTCCATCCCTGAGGCCTTGGACAAGTGTTGCTTTGGTTTATTTCAGGAAGTGCTATTAGAAAGATAAAACAAAGTGCCTGGCAGGCACTATAAAAAAAAAATAGAAGAAATATGGAAGACTTGATCATCCAATGGGCAGTTACGTGTTTTCAAACAGGGGCGAGGGGAGGGGAGATACACTGAGAAGTATGACTCTTCCTTCTGAGTCCCGGTTGCTGTCATTGCTGAGCCTGTGACTTGCTTATATTCCATTCCTGAATTTGGAGGCTGCTCTTCACCAGGAGAAAAGTGAGGAAAACCCAGCAAACAGGAAATAGCAGCTCCGCTCAACAGAGGCGAGGAGCCGAGGGAGAAGGCAGCTGCTGGTCAGGGCTGGTGCTGGAGGGAGGCCAGATGCAGGCAGCCCCAGGCTTCTCTGGGATGGCTGCCATTTTTCTCACAAGCAGAGAGAAAGATGGAAAGGTCAGGAAGGAGACATGGGGAAGGGTCTACTGTGGGGAGTCACCAACTCCATAGGACACAGAAAGTGCAACCATCTCCCACTGAGAACCTCCCCCAGTGACTTGCCTCAAAACAAAATACTAGTCCATTTCTTTGATATCCCTTCTCTCTCTCTCTCTCTCTCTCTCTCTCTCTCATCTTAATCCAATAATAGCTAGCATATATAAATAATAATTGTTAATGTTATTTGTTCTTTGTTTCCAAACCTAGTGTTCCTCTTCTCTTCATTTTGCCAATAAATATGAAAATGGAAGAAATCAACTCTGCTGTGTCAAAAAGATTCCCCTCCCCCTGCCCCAGCAAAAAGAAAAAAAATCTGCTTAACTTCCTATTTCTAGGGAAAATAAATAGCCCACCATGATGCCATCTCTCTGGAGAACTGTCATCCTGCTCTTTTGTTGTTCTGTTTTCTTTCAGTAGTTTGCGCTTCTGTTGTATATAACCCAAATAGAAGGATGGCATGGGGGAGAGGGACACACGGAAGGCAGGAGGAGAAAGCAAGGAGAAAGGGAAAAACCCAAGTCGTCTTTCATTAAAAATAAAATAAATAGCCCACCATGATGCCATCTCTCTGGAGAACTGTCATCCTGCTCTTTTGTTGTTCTGTTTTCTTTCAGTAGTTTGCGCTTCTGTTGTATATAACCCAAATAGAAGGATGGCATGGGGGAGAGGGACACACGGAAGGCAGGAGGAGAAAGCAAGGAGAAAGGGAAAAACCCAAGTCGTCTTTCATTAAAAATATATATATCTATATATATATATATCAGAACCAGAACAAGGACCAGAGTCAGAGGGGTGGCTAATTGGCCAGACAGTCTGTCCCACGGGCTTAGCAGCTGCCCTTTTTATCTGCTGTGGGCGAGCCCCGGCCACCGCGGCGTCCTCGACAGGAGCGAGGCTCTTCCAAATCGTCCTCATCAAAGCCGTAGAAAGTTGAGGTGTCACTTTCTGACGTGGAACCGAATAAGTCCTCCGTGGTGCGTGCTGCGGCCGCTGCCTCCTTCTCCTTCCTGCCTTCTCCTCCCAAATGAGCTGACATGTATGATGAATATATCAGCACATGGGTTAAGCAACAGACAGCATCATTAATACTCTCATTATGTCATTATAGTGTTATTCCTAATATATTGCAAGACAGTATGTCATTGTTATATCAAAAGGGACCAACCGGGTGTATCACCTGGTGACGAATTTAGGACAAAGCACATATTTCCAGGAAGAAGATTTCATTTCCCTGAAAAATGCCTGATCCCTACCATAATACATATGTCCACAGCTCCCGACAGCACGAGATGCAGCATGGTGGCTTTCTCTGCACGCGCAGAGGCACACGCACTCATTCAACAATGCTTCGCACAATGCTTTTCCTTGGTGGTTTTAAAGCCTCGTTGGCGTTTCTTTACAGTTTCAGTTGACATTTCTTTGAACAATGTTTGCCTTCACTTTGACAGTCAGCTTTACCAAGGTATTATTGTCAGATAACCCATTCAAGTCGGCTAAGCCTCCATCCATTTTATTTTTATTTTCCCCTGCTTCTAATCCCATTCTTTCAAAACCTTTTCAGTTCTACCCTTACACCATGTAGTTCATTTGCACTGAAAGCCAAGAGAAGTTGGAGAGCCTGATAAGTGGTAGCTCATAAGAGTTCCTCATTTTCTTTAACCCCTGGAGGAATTTTCTCACATAACCACTAAAAATACCCAGGTCTTAGTTACCAGTAACTAAGTTCACACCGTCAAAACTAATGCAAAACACAGTAAAAGCTGAGAAACAGGGCTTCAAAAAATCCTAGTAAACTGCAGTAACCTAAAATCTGTAAAAGGGTTAAATTTTTCACTTTCTATTGGAACCCAGGACTTCCTCCTCGTACCATAGTGATGTCCCTCCCATGGTGCCAGGGTCAGACCAGGGGCAGTGGGTAGCTGAGCAGGGAATCTCAGGTTTCCAACCTCATACTCTTCTCTGGAAGGACCCTGGGGAGGCCCAGAAGTATTCACACACCTGTCTTAACAGCACACCCCATAGGCTAAGTGCCACCCATGTGGTAACTATTTTGGGAATATCAGTCAGGTATTTATAAATGATCCACCAGATTAATTCCAGGCAGTTACAATGAGAATATCTAGGCTGGTGAAAAATGACCCTTTGGGCACAGAGCAGACAGAACCAGGGAAAGAAAAGCTGAGTGAAGGTAACAGAAAGAGAGGCTTGGTGTAGAAAAAGCCAGCTTCCCACTTCTGTCGCCCGTGGATCACATCCAATACCTCATCTTTTGTTGGGAAGAAAAGGGAGCAATGCTAACCATCTGCAGCTAGAACTCTAAACCTGCCTTCTCCAACCCACTCAAACCTATAGCAGTCCCATACACCTTTGCTCAGGGTGTCACTCCACCAAGTTGGCCTTGTTTGGGGCAGAAGAGATATCTGAGTGCTTGCTCTTAAAACAAAAACCACTGAGCTGAAGTCCATTTGTTGAATTTCTTTTTAAGTGTCTAAAAACTAGAGTCCTCTATCACAGGATTGTATCTTCCAAGGCAGAAGCAGTAGAGTAAAAAGTCAACGTTAGATATGTTTAGACCATAAATAATTGACAGAATTGTACAAAAGGACTGCCCTAGCAGGGTCCTTGAGAGTTAAATGTGAAGGTTGTATGTCATGGACACCAAGTCCTTTTCCAATTACTAGTTTGCCACTCCAGGCAGTCTAGAACCCTAAACAACCCAGCTTCAAACCAGGGAAGAGTCAAAGGTAAGATTTATGGGCACTGCAAGGAAGAACTGGGTTGCTGCAGAAAACCAAGATGAGGTCATCGCAGTCCTACTTCAGGACTGAACTGGAAATGCTATTGAGTTAAAAGTATTAGAAGAAATGGCTTCTCACTCTGGACCCATCACCCAAAGCATTTTGCCTTCAGAGAGCAGCTGATGTGACTAAAGATGGCATCTGACATCATCTTTCCTCCCTGCCTTGTGCTCTGGTTTAGTTTGATATAGAAAAATGGGGGTGGGGGGGCGCTAACACCAAACAAATCATGATCAGGCAAAAAATAATGGTTTAGCTACATCTGGAAACCAATCCTCAGCCAAGACTCAAACTCGTTTTAAGAATGAGGGAACAAGACCAAGTCTTCAGATAGGTTAAAGATGAAAACAGTATGCCAGGTCAACTCCAGATTACTTCCAGGGATGCCTGCCTTCATGCCTCCTTGATTTATGTGGAAAGATGGGATGGGAGACCAATGGATGGTAGGTACATGCCACTACTCAGGAGTCCAGGGATCTGTGAATCCCCCAATTCAAGAATGCAGCTGCTTTCCTAATATTCATTTACTATACTCTCTGGGGTTGTCCCAGGTATTGCCATCATCCAGGATAAGATAGTATGTTGCCTGGTATCTCCAGTCTACCTCAGTACTGACCAGAACTATACACACCAAGTAATGTCCACTTCATGGAAGAAATAAATACAAGTCAAAACCTTCTCCTTGCCCTCCCCCTGGGACCCAGAAAACAGCTTTTGATTTTTAAGACCCAAAGAAGAAAAACATAAAAATGACCTGAAAACCCCTCTCCACTCGAAGTCATCACCACTGTCACTTCTCCCCTCTCATCTCCTTCCCCCACCACCAAGAGATGGCAGAAGAATCCGAGTAGAAGGAGTCCTGGTCTACAGCACACAATGCAGGAAGGGACCACACTCACCAGAGCGTCCACAGTCTGCACAGGACACCAGCTCTTCAGGTCGCCCACTCTTCTTGTTCATGTTTGAACCCCCCAAGCAGAAGTCACAGTAGTTATTGGGAATGACTGTCCCATCTGGTCCTTTCTGGGCTGTGGAAACATTGAGAAACAATTCCAGTTTTAGGCTGAAATGTTGCCCCCTCTTCTACAAGAGTGTGGCAGAATTCATTCCAGAAAGAATATTAAGTTTAGACTATAACATCTTGTTATAACCAAGGGGTGATGTGGGCTAGTTTTCTGTTTGTTTGTTTGTTTGTTTAATCCTTCTTGGTTCAATGATACCAATGGCTTGCAAGTCATCCAGAATTTAATTTTTTCAATTTTTTCCAGTTCTGTTTTTATAGAAACCACCTTGCCCCTTAGAAGCAGTGTTGGTCAAGTAAACTTCTCTTAAACCTGCACAGGTAGCTTTCCAAGTCAAGGTCCCAAAATATCAGGTGGAAATCATATAGAGCAGTGACTAGAAAAAGAGGTCCAATGCCTGGACCTAGCTTTTAAGAAAGGTGTTTTCATTCAGGAGACTTTGCTCCTGTCCCTAGAAAGGAAAACGTATCAGTAGCTGGTCCCCTCTAAAGAGCACACTGGAGAGTATCAAGGATTTTTATGAACACTGTGACAGATATAGAAGTGTCTGGTTTTGGTCAGTCTCAACTTCTGGAAGTTCAGACTTGTTGATCATGGAAAAGCTCGATCTGAAGACCTCAGATGACTAGAATTGTAACTGGATACAGATTTACTAGGTATTGAGTTCAGTTTTGTGCCAGAGATGGATGGAATGATGAGTGAGTGAGGATATGTAAACATAACCTAAACATAGCCTGAAGTTTAAGATCTCCACAAGTGACTGAACGCACTAGCCCTATGACCTACCCCTGCTGGATGTCAAAACAAAGGCAGAAACTCTTCAGACATGACCTTGAAAACAAAGCCCTGTGATACTAACACATGCCTTGAAGCTCCAAAATCATCCCCAGCTACTAGGGGCTGGATGAAAAGCCTTGGACGGGTTCTTTGCATAGGAGAAATGTTTCCATTTTCCTTGTTTCTCTCTTTATATTGTAGACATTGTTTTGTCACACTCACACTCCCTGATTGCCACTAAAAAGAAAAGTCTCTCCATTTGTGGAATCAGCCTTAACCACCAGGGCATCTTCTTCCTTCGCATCCCCCATGTCTACTGCTATCTTTCATTATTCACTGGCTAACATTAATCAGAGTCCCGTAGGGTACAAATCTGTAAAAAGGAAGCAGATACGTGAGCAGAAATACCAGCCAGACTGTAAGTGATAAACGGATTCACCCCCTTTAATGTGATTCCCTCTGGCCTTCTCTTCCTCCATGCCTCTGCTTTGCCTCCAGGAATAGAAAACTTACCTGGGGAAGGCGGAAGACAAAGGCTAGCAGAATTACATTACGGAGGGTTAATCCATTTATCAGTTGCTATTTGGATTGTTTAATCAGTTTCTAAGTCACTGATTTCCATCTTCAGGGAGGCAGACAATTCTCTGCAAGGAAAGTGTTGGCTGTTTGGGGGAGGCAGAGGAGAGGGCCACCCTCTGTGGTGTCTTGAGTATGGGCTTTCCTTCCTTAACGAATGACTGGATCTCAAAGACATCTGTGTGGCAAACAGAACAGCTTTACAAATACCTGCCAAAGGCCAGGACAGCTATAAAAATTCTTCTGCTTATGAAACGTGCTTTGCCCAAGTCTGAAGTACCAATCTCCCTTTCTTCCTTCTCCTTCAACTGCCCCTTTCTCCATTTTTAGTGCTTTCTAGAGAAAAATCTAAGCATGTTTAGGAAGCAAATAGACTCAGGGTTTACTTATCAAGAGATACACTAAAATCTAGTAAGTGGAAAATATAAACTAGAGGTGGAATAATATTCAATTTAGGAGCAGAGTTTCATGATTGAGGTGAATGAGATATAAGATAAGCAGTGATGATCACAGCTGAGGTAGCTTCCCACATGCAAGCAATGACAGACTCTCAAGTACATCATCCCAAAACAGTCTCGGGGGCTCAGTCTGACTTCTTCCTGCACAGACTTCCTACAGTGTCATATTTCTTCCTCATTCTCAAAGTATTTAAGCAACAACAACAAAAAATTATTGTCTTCAATTCACTCTGCCCCTTGATGATGATGATGATGATGATGAAGATGATGATGAGGATGATGATGTGTGTGTGCAAGCAAAATACAGAGAATAAGAACTTCCAGATCATTCTTTACAGTATTCATCACCAAGAGATAGCTCAGTGGTTAAGAGCATTAAGAGCAGTTAAAAGTTCTTCTAGAGGACCCGAGTTCCATTCCCAGCTCCCATCTCAAGCAGCTCACAACTGCCTTTAACTCCAGCTCCAGAGGATATGACACCCTCTTCTGACCTCTGCAGACACAGAGATACACACACACACACACACACACACACACACACACACGAAATAATTTTTTTATTTTAAAAAGAGAGACCATAGGTAGAATGTCATATTGAATCAAAAGCTTCAAGTTGGTCCTTGTGGTCCAGTCCTGCAACCCCAGTTCTTAGGAGACTGAGGCTGCAGAATCACACATTCAAGGCCTGCTTTGTTAAAAAGGCAAGTCTTAGCCACTTAGACCCTGTCTCAAAATTTAAGTAGATAGATGATAGATAGATAGATAGTTGATAGATAGATAGATAGATAGATAGATAGATAGATAGATAGATAGATGGCTGGGAATGTAGTTCAGTGGTAAAGCACCTGATCACTTGCTGAGCATGCATGAGACCCTCGGTTCAGTCCTGAAATTATCTAGTAAAGAAGATATTGATGGAAGAAATAACCTATGTTGAAAAACCAAAGGAACAAATCCATCTAAAGAAGAGAATTTTCTGTTAGACAAAGTACCTGTCTAAGGGAGCAGAGGGATGCTAAAATCCTGCATGTGGGCCAGCGTATGCAGAACTGGGAGTGGACCATTGATCCAGCAATGGTCCAGTACAGAAACTGACAACAAGGGCTAGATCTAGTTCAGTGGCAAAGCATAGCATGAATCGGGTCCTGGATTCAACTCTTACTTATATAAATAAAAAAGAGAAGAGAAGAGGAGAGGCGGTGAGGAAGAAGAGGAGAAAGAGGAGGGAGGGAGGGGGAAAGGAGGGGAGAGAGAGAAGGAGGGATCGAGGTGACTGGAATAGCTTTATTTTTGCTGTAGCCCCTGCTCTCTTCCTGCAGCAATGAGCTCATAGCATTCTCCTGTCCTGATGAAATGGCAAAGTATGAACCAATAGCTTATAATATGATTCTCTTATATTTTTTGGTATTGAGGATTGATTTAAGAGCACAAGTTTTCTCCCAGTTCCCAGTCATGCCCTGGTGGGGAAGCATTCAGATAGCACTGTTGTTACAACCCTTTTCTTGACACACATGCAGATCTGACTCACCTCTCCATACTAAATGAGCCACATTCTGTCTTTCCTTCAGTATATTCACACACCTACATGTCTTGCATGCTAGAAATGGTGACCAACAATGGCTCAGAAAAGGATGACAAAGATGTAAGCAGACATCACCAAGATCTCCCTATGAGTATGGTGAATGTCATTGGCTTTCCCTGTGGCATAGCTATCTTTCACTCTGGATATCACTCACTGTCCTTGATTACTATCTTGACTCCTCAAAGAGTTGGTCCGTGTCCAAATACATGGGCTCACAGTCAGTTCACAGAGTGTGCAAGAGTGGATAGCCCAATAACGCTGTACACAACAGTTTGTTTGGATATGGTTTGGATATGAAGTCCCATGTGTTGTGGTTCCCAATGCAGCAGTATCCTGAGATAGGGTTTTAGGGAAAGTGACTGAACCACAAGGGCTCTGACTGGATCAATGATTTAACCATTAATAGGTTCAAAATTCAAATAGTCTATTGGGAAGTAGTGGAATTGTGGAAGGTGGAGCCACACTGGAGAAAGTAGGTTACTGGGTACATGTCATGACCCCGACCCCTTCCTGCTATGCTGCTCTGCTTCCTGGCCACCCTGAGTTAGACAGCTCTGGGCCACTAAGCCTACCACTAAGCCCTCTCGACATTCTGCCTCATCATTATCCCAGAAACCAAGAATCTCTGGGTTGAACCCTCTGAAACTGTGAGCCAATGTAAGTCTCTCCTCCTTTAAATTGTATTCATCAGAGCAACAAAAGTCTGACTAACAAAACAATCATTCCAAAAAAGATACAACCATAACTTATATCTCTTGAGAAGTGATACCAGGTCACATCTATCCACTCAGCCTCCCTGTGGCTCAATTGCTTGCTAAGAAAAGAAGTAGTTGTCTCCTATGCTACAGATCTATGGTGGGGCTTCCACTCCTGCTGGTTCACTGGTTCTTACCAATTCAAACAGGAATTATATGAACAAAGAGGTAACCAAAATCCAAAAAGATTAAGATGCTGGCTCCAGGAGTCAGTTATAGAGAGGATATGGAATTCAGGCCCCGTTATCCACAATCCCCAGAGATTCTACCTCCAATCATGCTTCTCTGCCTCCAAGAGGTCTACAGGTAAACACTTCCTGGCCACACCTTGTATATCAAGCATTCCCATTTCCGAAATCTCTTTCCAGTCAATTTGATTTACCCAATATGTTAATTACAAAGCTCAAAGTGATAAAAATTGTGAGTGACCTGATAAAAGCAGAAATTCCTTTTGAACTTAATGTCCCCACCACAGTAATTCATCCTGGGTGGCCCTGTTTATTGTTAGACAGTCTGTGAAACCACTTCTCTGGAGAATTCCAGGGGCTCATGAGAGGAGTTTCTTAAGTCAAGCTCACACCTTGACTAGACTGCAGAAATGAGAGGAATATTCAAATAACTCAATGCAAGAAAAAGGAAGAGAAGCAGGTGCCCATCATACATGCTTTACATAGACTATTTCACTGGTTCTTCTAGAGCCTATGTAAACTAGGAATTGTTTGAAAGATGAGAAAACTAAAATCCAAAGACTAGCTGCCATGCTCAGAGAAGGGAAAGCAGGCACGCTGTGCAGGTATTAGTGTGCTGCAGGACTTAGGAGTTAAATTGGGTTTCCTATGTTTGAAAAATAAAGTTCCA